AAAATGGACAAATTATTTGAAGTACAATTTATTGTTGAAAGTACTTTCTATTACTTTTTTTGTATCAAATGGTTTCTTGAAATAAATGATAGGTTATTATTTGAATCGTATCATTGCAGTTGAAACGCTGTGAATTGGCAGAATACAATGCAGTAATTCATGATCTTTTAATTGATTTTGAAATTCTATTGGAAATGGCGAATTTCTTGCCAAAAAATGGTACTAGACGATATCAAGCTTTATATACAGCAAATAATATGGTAATCGGACATTATTTCTTGAAACAGTATGCAAGCTTGACTTTTGAACTTAAGAAACTTCAATCTTCAATCATTTTTCTCTCATTTTCCTCTTCAGATTAATGATTTGGTTTCTTCAAAGTTTTCTCTGCATGCACAAAAGCAGAGCCACTTACGTGCTGAAGAATTTTTTCGTGAACCTAACGCAAATAGTCAAATGACATTATATGCAATGGGCAATTGTCATATCGATACGGCTTGGTTATGGCGGTACTTTAGTTTTGTGTGCAAATAAAATTTATAAAACGTTGAGATTAGTAGCTCACTATGCTTTTAGATATCAGGAAACACGCAGAAAATGTGCTAGAAGTTGGTCTGCTGCTATCCAGTTAGTGAAAAAATTTAAGAATATGACATTTGTCTTTTCACAAGCTCAGCAAGTAAGTTTATTGATGTAGTTTCCTTCCCTAAATCTACTCAAACGTAATCCATTATGAATTTTAGTTGAATTAATTGCAGCTAGTATGGGTGAAAGAGCATTACCCGACTCTTTATAAACAAATGCAAATCTATGCAGAAGAAGGACGATTTGTTGGAGTTGGTGGAGCATGGGTTGAAATGGATGGAAATTTGCCTAGTGGTGAGAGTATGATTAGGCAATTACTTTATGGACAACAAGAATTCAAGAAATTTTGTGGCTAGTAAGCTTCTTTTGTTGATTATCATCGTAAAACAGTACTTTAGATTAAGTTGTAAGCTAATGTAAAATTATTTAAATTTTTAACTGTGATGGTACTTCATACCTATTTGTTTTTGCATGTTGTAAGGAACAGATCAAACTGGTCAATAAAATCGTAATTTTTTTTAGTTACTCACATATATTTTGGTTACCTGATACATTTGGATACTCTGCTCAGCTACCGCAGATAATGCAGCACTGTGGGATGCAATATTTTGTCACACAGAAAATGAGCTGGTCTATAGTTAACAAGTTTCCACACCATTCATTTCACTGGTTTGGTCTCGACGGTAGCTCTGTAATTGCACATTTTCCTCCTCATCATTACGTATCCCAGGTTTATTAAATTTACTTTATTTTGAAATATAAATAATGCAAGAAAGAAATATTTTTCGCTGATTATTTTTCATTGTATAGAAGTGCTTTCAGATAACAGTGAAAGAGTGTTTGGAATCGCGGGATAATTTTACAGATCGGGGACGTTCGAACATAGCAATGATGCTGTATGGATTTGGTGATGGTGGAGGTGGTCCTGATGAAAATATGCTAAAAAGAGCGAAATGTCTAGTGAATTGTGATGGAGTGCCTCGGGTGCATCATGCGACTCCTAATGAATTTTTCAGAGAGGTTTTTTATTTAAAAGTTTCTCATGATACTTTTGAAAAAGCAATGTTTTCTGCATGCTATATATTTAGCTGGCGAAAGATTTCGACAATTTATGTAGCTGGAAAGGCGAATTATTTTTGGAGTTGCATAACGCAACTTATACAACACAAGCTTTCATTAAAAAAATGAATAGACTCTTAGAAAGCATCCTCAGAGATCATGAATTGCTTCAGGTATAGCCTTTGAAATATTCTATTACAGTGTCGATATATCGTTTTATCTATATTATAAATTAATTATGTAGACTGATTGTAGTTTTAGAGCTTTTCATCTCACCATAAAATTAATCATGGTTACTGAGTTCACATCTTAGTATCCACCAATGCTTCAGAAAACCACGTTGCAAATATATTTCGTGGTTGATTTTTAGTATGTAAGACAAGTATTTATAGTCTATGTCACTTCTTGAACGCAATGAAGGCAACACTATTACATCGCTGTGGCAACGTTTCCTTCTCAATCAGTTTCATGATGTTTTGCCTGGTACTTGTCTAAAAGAAGTGGTAACTGATGCAATTAAGATTTACAAGAGTCTGTTGGATGAGCTCACAGTTGGTAATGAAAGAGAGCTGAAGTGGAAAGGTACATAAATTTGATAATCTGAAATACTCGAAAATTTTCTAACTAATTACAATTTATAATATATCGAGCTACATCTCAATTATGGTTTCCATTTTACAGAGGGAGACTGCAGTGAATGGGTGCTTAACAGTTGCAGTTGGACAAGAACTTTTTTTCACGACGATCGTTTTTTACAAATAGAACCGTTATCTATTAATCGTTTAAGCGAACTTCATAACCTCTACCTTATGAATGAGAAATCATTGTGTTTAGAAGTTGGAAGTGGTTTCTTTCTGGAAAATCACTATATTTCTGCATACATTGATAAAGTAATGTTGAAGGATATTCTCATGAGGCCAAAAACGAAAAAAAATTACTTTGTTTTCGAAAATTAATTTGCGTCTGTCATGAATGCAGAAAAAAAAACCGATTATATCAAAAGTACAGGATGATATGATAAAGTTCGCTTGAAAAGATAAGTCACGGTTCGTAAAATTGATAAGTTTTTATTTTTCAGAGTAACTACTATAAAGTATGAAGCTTGAAGTGGGAACATTTTGAAGCATTTAGTTATAAAGCATTCAATAAAAATTTTAATATTTATTTATGCAGGCTGGTCGCGTTGGGAATATGGTGGTACGCCCTACAAACAGATTAAAAACGAATCACAATAATTTTGTAGTAGTCCCCGAAGGCAGTGTTGCAAATCAATTTGTCATTTTTGATGATGTCCCTCTTTTTTGGGATGCATGGGATGTAATGGACTATCATTTGGAAACGAAACAATTAATTCATCTAGTTGGTCCACTTTTTTGTCAGTCTACAGAATTTATTTAAATTTGACTGTGGAATATTGGAATATTGAGCAAGTCATCGTACATGCAATCTGTTTTTAGAATTCTGAAGCATGTCTTATCAAGAATACGCAAGCAGAAGCTCGCATTCGTGTAGAATTTCAAATAAGTGAAAAGAGTTCCATAGTCCAATATATTTCTTTATTCTCTCATTTGCCTTACTTAGTTTTCAATGTTACAGTACAATGGCACGAGTCGCATAAATTTCTTAAGGTTAGTCTTTTTTACTTAAGTGACTAACTTTGTTGTTCTGGAAGCATTATTATGAATATTAATCTAAAACTTTTGCAGCTTTGAGCAATGATATGATAATAAGATATGTTTACGAAATTGTTTTCATAATTGTACCCTTGCTTTCGATTCCCATTTTTCAAGGTTGAGTTTCCAGTGAATGTTCAGAACATGGATGCTTATTACGATATTCAGTATGGTCATGTAAAAAGACCTACTCATCAGAACACTTCTTGGGATGCAGCAAAGTATATTTCATTCTTTTTGCTTCTAGCTGCACTGTTGGTTTGGAAAGCCTTCAAAAATTTTAGCTAATGAACTTTTTGAACTGTTAGTAAACTGAAGATCTTTTGTTTTTGTAATTGACAATCACTGAATATATTTCAATTCGTTATCTCCCAGTTATGAAAATTGATAATGTTCTAACAGTTATTCGATCATTAAACTATTATAGCTAAATTCTGATTTATGCAAACAAAGCATATGTGGTAAGAAGGGCATCGTGATTAGCTGAAGAATTTTCTTTTGTCGTAAACATTTTTTAATATCATATTTTAATCATTTTTGAAAACACTCATTATTTTACCATCTGGTTTTCGATTTAAAGGTATGAGGTTGTTGGACATAAATGGATGGTGTTAAGTGAGTTCGATCATGGTGCTGCACTATTGAATGATTGCAAATATGGTCATTCTTGTATCGGAAATACGATGACTTTGTCTCTACTTCGAGCAAGTAAAATACCGGATGATACTGCTGATATGGGAGAGCATAATGTAGGTTGTAGATTGTATTTCCCTTACCGCTGAAAAAAAAGTAATATTTTATTAGTGATATAAGGTTTTTTTTACATGGTTTAAAAACTTGTTGGTAGTGTTGGAAAAATGTTGGAATTGGGTCACTTATTTTCAGTTTTCTTATGCTTTCTATCCGTTTATTGGCTCAATGCAGCGACCTTGGAATGATTTGAATTTAAGCGTCATGCGTGCAGCCTATGAATTTAACAATCCTATCCGTTTTGTAGATAGATGGTCTTCAGGATCTATTTCATCCTTTTTAATTATTGACGGGAATGAAGGTTAGTTTTTTGAAAATTATACAATTTTCTTTTTAATAATTATTTCAAGCCATTTGAATGTGTTAAAACTAGCATTGTTTTTCTCAGTTCATTTATACATTTTTAAATTTGGATATAATTATAAACTTTTGCTCATGTTGTTGATGAAAGATCTTGCTTGTTTCTTCGTATGTTAATATATATCAGCTCATCATCTCACTTCGAAGCTGATATTTGAAATTCATACTGTAACAACTATTAAAATTATTTATATTTCCAATTTAGGAGTCATTATTGACTGTGTAAAGCCGGCTGAAAATAATAAAAACGCACTGGTTGTTCGTTTATTTGAATCATTTGGTGGCAAAGCTGATATAAAACTTAAAATTAATCATCCTCACATTATTTCTATCGATTTGGCTGATGGTTTGGAGAGATCAATAAAACCATTGTCTCGTAAATCTGAAAATTATTCAACTCAAAATAATGATGAAGGATTTATAATTCTAGAATTTCGTGCTTTTGAAGTGAAGACCTTGTTATTAAGGTTATCAAAAGGAAGAAAGTATAAAGAATCTTCTAGTTAACATTAATGAAATAATTAAATTTATGTTCAAAAAGAAAAAGCATGTGAACATGTATGCGCTATTTCAAGATGATTGCAAGCTGATGGAATTTGTAATGATTATAAGCATTACTTTGAAATTCATTATTTATCGTAAAGCCGGTACACGGGAATATTTTCGCTTCATTTTTTTCATTTCAGCAGTTATTAAAATGTTTTCTCATCAGCATCAAATGTGTTTCATCGTGTTTTATTATCTCTGAAATTCAAATGATTGTGGAAAGATATAGTAATAGTAAACGATATATTTTTTGAGCGCGTTAATTTTTATTTTCACAATCTTTTGCAGTGAAGAACAGAGATTTTATCTTTAATCCTTTTGCTTGTACCTCGCTTATTGGCAGTTGTTTAAGGCATAAATTTGTTTATTGCGCGAATTTGCATTTTAAACATTTTAATTGCGTCCTTCTTTTGACTTGTATCGTTCATGTGTTTTTGGATAGTTCATAATTTGTGTAAGGCATGACTAATTTAGTGCTCATAACATTTTTTGCAAAGTGCTGCAAATTTCTTAAAATCTAAA